GCTGTGGCTACAATGTAGCTTGCCATCACCAGTGTGTGAATGTGTGTGTGAATGGGTGAATGACTGGATATGTAAAGCGCTTTGGGGTCCTTAGGGACTAGTAAAGCGCTATATAAATACAGGCCATTTACCATTTTACCTTAAAGGCCGGTCCGTGAAAATAATGTTGGGCATAAACCGGTCCGTGGTGCCAAAAAGGGTAGGGACCGCTGTCTTAAGTAACCTCAGAAGTCCTCAAATTCCTTCCTATGTCACTCAGCATTTTCCTGATTGGCTGAATCAACTGCTTGATTTAGAGCATGTTGAATACAGTACTAAATTATAGTTGTTATGGCTAGAATATAACATAAAACTAAATAAAATTCTCATTGACTAATGACTTCTCACTTTTCATACCAGTTCCAGAGGCGGGAAATGACTAAATGCAATTACTGTTACTGTACTTAAGTTAAATTTTCAGGTATTTGTGCTTTAAGTATTTATTTTTCTGATGACTTTTTACGTTTAATGTATTTTCTACTCCTTCCATTTTCAAAACAGGCTCATTATTTAGGTGTGGGGAGTCATTATTTCCTACTGCATGCTTTAAAACATTAAGCCAGTTTACATAAGTAAATTGGAGTATCCATCACCAATGTTGAGCAAAATTGAAGCTGATGATTCACTCACTGAATTCCACCTTTATTCTGAGTACAAGTTGTAAATCGGCGTCGATAGCTTGTGCAAGATCTACTTATATCTTGTTGATTTCACCTTTTAATCTTCAAAGAACAGCAGCAGCACACCTCAGCTGATCACAGTCTGCCAGTGGGTTACATCATGTTGGGTAAGTCCATCTTTTATATGCAGTCTGTTCTCATACTTCATTCATGTGTTTCTGTTTTCTAAACCAAAAGAAAAAGTCGCTGCCACAACATCCACACAAAAACATGCTGTAATAAAATAAGGGGAGCCTAAAATTAATGCATAATGTTAGTTTCCTAATGGAAAAGGCCTACCAATGTGTGTATACAGACACACATTGAGAGTTTTAATTTTTGCTTTACATACATCATATTCCAAATCTCTTTCGAGTTGTTGGGTTACTTTAACACCAGAGACTTAAAGTTTGAGTATTTCAATCAGATTTTTATTTCATTTTATTCTATTTTCTTTGGCACAAATACACATTCATCTTAAGCTTTCATAACCCAGTTAACCCAGTCAAACCACTTTCACATTGGAAATTATTTACAACGAAACTCCAGTTTTATATAACAACAAAAAAACTCTTTGTAAATGTTCTCACACGCTGGCAAATGTTGTCGTTAAAACGATGAGACGATTAAATGAACTGCATGAAAATCCATCACAACCCTGTTTAAGCCACATTTACAGACTGGATTTAAATATATAAGCAATTTCAGTGGTACAACTTCAGCCACCAGTATAATAGTTAAGCCACATCAAGGTAATTGTAGAGCAGGGATTTCACTCAGTGATCACCTGTGAAGCAGAGGAAAAAATTACTTTGAAGTCCAGAGAAACAAAGTCTTACAGTTGGTTCAGCGAGGCTCGCCATATTTTATTTTTTGATTTAATTAAACATAACTCTGACCGTTCTAGACAAGCGCCTGTTTCAAAGAAGTGATCCCTTTCAGTAAGTGGTTTTATCTGATACCCCAAAAGTACTGTCATGACAGATGAACTCGAGAACTCCCTCTCATGTTTAAATGAGTTCCCATGAAGTCATTTTATACTGGAACTGGACTATTTTCAGCTTTCCACTCTTACTCTTACCATTGAGATTCGGATTACCATTTACGAGCTATGACTCGCAAACTGTCTCCACTGTTTATTGCTAACTATTAGCTTACCATCTCAACCATGTGTGCACTACTTAGCTACCACCCCAAAAATGCTGTTCATCACATTTATTGGCCGGTTTTTAAGTATTAATGTTTAGCTAACACATTTGTTGACTGTTAGATAAAACTAAGGATAATCCAGAGTTAAATGATACTGTTAGCTATTCTTAACATAGCTTCTCCACATACCAAGCAGTCTGGTGTACCATTAGCCAACAGCTTCAATTGTTAATCTTAGATTTAGCCAATAATTTCCAGCTGTTTAGTGACAAATCTATTTCAGCTGTATTTATCTATACTGTTGGATGATAATTTCATGCTAGCACATTTTTAATTAATAAACCTTTTTATTCACAATTGATGCTAACTATATCAACCATCCTTTTATGTTTTCTTTTCCGCCTTATTTTTCTATTGCATTACATAGAACAGTAATTCTAAACCAAGGATAAAAGTAACCCCTAACACAGTGTGAGCAGAAAACTGTGGATCATAGATTGCATATAAAAGAAAGATGCAGTTTTAGGATTGAAACGTGAAGCTAATGCGTGTGGGGAAAAAATGTCCTTGGTTCCCTTGATCTTGTTCTGTGACCTCAATAAATGCTTTGATAAGATAAAGAGCTTAAGAGCTAGTTGCAAATCTTATTTAATACAAAATGATCTGCATTTTAAAAAATTATAATACCCATTCTAGTCAAACAGGAGGATAAACAGAGCATGCAAGCCTACTTACTGTATGACCTGCTAGCCTACTTCCTTTGGTTTCTGACTCCTCACTCTTTACGAATCTTCTTTGATTAGATTAGATTAAACTAGACTACATTAGCCTTTATTTTCACCCTTGGCAGAATGTTATCTTGGATAAACGAGGAAACACATTATGTAAGATAATACACAAACGCTCATTTACAATTTCACCTATTTCAATTTATTACTTTATGCAATAATTCATACCTATTTATCTTAAAGTTGGAAACTCTGCCTTTTTCCTGAAGGCATAAACTTATAATTAAACTCCAAAGGGGATACTTTTACCCCTGGGTAAAAATTATTTTTCTAAAGACTGATTCTTCTTTTATACATTTTATCTAAGATATTAAGAGACACGAGATCTAAAATTATGCTGTGTTTGCAAAATAAAAAAACCCCAAACTACCTACATGTCATGTGAAAGAATAATAATTTTTTGCCTTCCATAATAGCAACAATTTAAGCTTTTATTTTACAAAAGTAATCCACACATTTCTTATGATTTCTGAAGTCTGAGACCTGAAGGCAATCACATATATTATAAGATCCAAATGTAGATGCAGCTATCATGTGAGCAAAATTAAATGTATTATAACACAATCAGAGCAAATCCATTTACTTCACCAGTGTTTTAATTGCTTTGACTTTTCCTACTCATGCATGGGGTTCTGCTCATGTTGCAATCTGTCCTCTTTTTTTAAAGCTGAGTGAATTTCTGACAGTTTTACTGCCTGAACATAGCACACATTCATTTAAAAGGCGACATAATAAAACTAAAAATAGTTTAACCTACTCCTGCTTCGGCAGGTGCGTGCTCCATTTTGCTTGACCTACATGCCTGTTGATGGACTGCCACCATAAACACCCTATATTGATAATAGAACGCAGCACTGTGGGAGCCAAACATTTACTGTTTTTATTGCTTTGTGCTGTATATACCACGCCAAGTCATGCAACACACTTTAAATACGCCACATGGGCAGTTTGTTTTGTTCACCTGTAAATCTGCATATTCAGTTCATGGCAAAGAAAACATAATGTTACTATTACACTCAAACATCATTTTCTCCTCCAACTGTGCATCATTACACTTTCTATATTTTGTTTCTTTGCATTCGAATGGAGCAAATTCGAGACTTTGTTATTACCTCCATCAGTGGTTCAGGTGTCAATTACATGACCAGGTTTTAAATTGCATGTTTAACCGGCTAGAGCATGACTTTTACAGCACACACACGCACACACACACACTCCTAAAAGTTAATAATAATCTATAATATTAAAGGATGTCTGTAGCCATATTTTGAGGATGAATTTGCGGACCTCTATGAATCATCTAAAGTTATTTCAAATATGCAAATAAACCTACTAAAGTACTGCCTCTTAAAAATTGCCATTATTCTACTTACTCACTATCCGTAGCTGGGCTTTGCTCTTTGTTTTCCCAGCTGTGAACTCTACCACGCCATTCAATTCCGGAGAGGTCTGCCTGAGGGTCAGCCTGTGCACTGTGCCCATCTTCTCCAGGCGTACCCGAGAGCTCGGCTGCAAAGGCTCCCCGTTCAGAGTCCACACGGGGGATTTGAAGACAGGAGCTGAGACCTCACATTCGAAGCAGGCCTCATCAGGAGCCATGACTTCCACATCTTTAAGCTCTCGGACCATCAATAAAGACTGGCCTGGGTAAGGGCATGAGAGAGAAAGCGGTTAAGTGTTTTAACCTACGAATACACATTTTTAAGAAGATGTCTCGGTCTGAACAGAGAAGTTAAAACAAAGGAGGCAAAACTTCCATCACTCCATATTTTTATCCATCAGCGTCACAGAGAAGCTGGAGATCATCCGAGCTGTCATAGGCCAAGGCACCCTATCTTACTTCACAAGGTAAGAAGTAGACAGTTAACTGTTTGAGGAGGCTGACACCTACTGGTTAAAAACAAAACAATTGAGGGTCTCTCCCTCTCTCTCTCCCTCTCTCCATGCTATGGTAATTAAGCCCCAATCAAGAAAACTGTTTTAAAAAATTAATTACAGGATTACAGGGAAGTACACCAAAATAAACTGTGAAGGAACAACTGAAGAAAAATCAACCAAATATGAACAAGGGCCCACCCGATCCCCTCAGAATCAGCTCATTTACATCCAATAATTTCTGTCTATTTAATAAAACTATAAAATTTTCACAGGCCCTGAAACTACAGTGAGGACACTGGAAAAAATGATTTTTTTTTTTTTACAGTTTCTTTTAACAGCGTTTGAGTGTTCTAAGTACAGAATACAGCCACTCAAAATTTTCAAGACTGAAAAACTGTGACCAGATTTTACAGCCACACAGTCAAAAGCGAAAGCTATAATCTTTAAAATTGTTCAAGATTTTATTCTATAACCAACTCTGAACATCAGTATCCAAGGAGATATTACAGGTTCACTACCAAAATCGAGGATAACACAAACATCCAGAGCACTGAATGTCAGACTACAATATATTCAGCAATCTTTTTAACAGTGTTGCTCCTGCATACTAATTAGCGGTTAAGATGCTGGATGGATGATTTTTTAAAATTACAAAGTCAATGTCTTACATTAAAGAGCCCGGCTGATATTTTTCACGTCAGATTATGTTGCCAAGAAACATCCCATGTTTTTGCCTTTTGGATCATCATCATCATCATTATTATTACATTGCTTTCCTGAAAGTTAAACAAAGTCTTTCTTTAACTGTTCCCATATTTACAAAGCAGCGCCACAGTAGATTTGCCCTCCCAGGAATGACCTAGGAGGGGTTCTTCTGCTGGCCATGCTCTCATTCTGTTCTCAAACAGGACTCTTTCATGATTTAGGCAAATTTGTAAACCACTACACTATGAAATCAGTGTAGAATCAAATCAGTGTAGATGATTTTAATTTGCCCGTTTGGGGACTTATCTATGAACATTACTTTATATCACCCATGATCAAGTTAAATAAGGTGATTGTGAAATTAAAACAGACTGACTCCTATATAAAAATGTGCCGGGATATTACACCTTTCACGAAATAAGAAATTACATGTGGTAACTCTGCTGTTCCAGTAGGTGGCACTATCTGGTTATATATGCACACACAGTATTTGCTGTTGCTACTATAAGAGAGGGATTTTATCTTGTTACAGCTCTAATAACAAACTTTGGGTATTTTAATAACAGACTCTGGGGGGAAGGGGTGGAAAAAATGTAAGTCCTGACATTTGTCTCTACAACCCATTTTATGGGATAATCAATGGCACAGAAATAAAAACAGACCTAGTAAAGGTGGTGCATGCCTAGATAACAATATCCTGCTAAAAGAACTAGACTTAACTTTTGGTCAGATGTCATTTTTGTGCACTGATGATGTTAAGCTTTAATGAAAAAGTCTCTTACCCTCCACTGTCAGCTTTGCAGAGCAAGTATAATCTCCAACCTGCACACTGTATGTGCCCTCATCATCTAGCGCCACCTGCTGGATGATCAGCTTGCGATAACATCCTTCGCTGCAGATCTCGAAGCGTTCAGAGGGCAGGATGACATTGCTGCCTTTGTACCAGCGGATGCTACATCTGGGGTTGGATACTGTGCAGTCCAAGATCACACGGCTCTTCTCAAGGGCCGTCTTGTCTTGCAGAGGTTTTACAATACTGACTGGAAGCTCTGAAAGGGAAGGAATGTCGTTTAAATATGGGTCTTATTGAAATCACAACACACTGAGGTAGACATCGTAACCTACCTCACCTTACTTTAATGATTAGAAAATACATATTCAATACATGCACTAGGGACAGGAAATGTGAAGCTAAATATTGATTGCATTGAAAAAATGAAATTTTACTGTTTAGTTGGATTAACTGAGCAAACTCACTGAGTTAACTGAGCAAAAATCACTGAATTAACCCCCCAAAACTTAAGGATCATCAGGTTGCCCCAGTATGGTTTATCCATTCTAATTAGTTAGTAGGTGCTTTATTTGAATACCTTCCACCTCCAAGTAAGCAACAGATTCAATGTGCCTTGCCACAAACTTAATCTCTCCAGAGTCCTCTGCTCGCACGTTGCACATGAGAAGAAAATGTTTTGTCCCTGAAATGAAAAAAATTCTGAAATGTTTATTATAAAATATTTTTTCAGATTCTCAGGTTTTCTTTCTGGTTAAAGCCTAAAAAGTATTTTTGTTTGTTTATTTGTTTTGGTTTTTGCAAACCTTCCTGGCGGATCTTAATGGTGCTGGTGGGCTGTATCCGCTCCCCATTTTTGTACCATTCCCCTGGCACATCCTCCACTGTGATCTCACAAACAAACACAGCGTTTTCATCCTCTTTGATGTCCAGGTCCTCAAGACCTTGGAGGATCACCAGCTCACGCTCTGTAGAATTCAAATTTAAAAATATGTATATATAAATACATATGTATACATATATATATTTAAGATTACAATGGAGTCCTCATTCACACATCCAGCAGACATAGAACATATAAATGTTGCAGGCAGATGGCAGCATTGTGCTGTATTTGTAAAGCTGAAAGCCACGTCTTGAATGCAGTTTCAACTCCTTACTAAAACAACATGGCCATAAATACCAGCTACAGCCAGCAGTACTAATAATTTATTATTAATCATTAATTCATTAATTAACTTCCCAATCTAATTAGTAATAATAGCCTAATAGCACTATTGGGGCTACAATTATGAACATTTTATTAGAACAATATATTTGTATAGCTAAGTTTCTCATTTTTCTCAGACACAGAAACTTTTAACTAATGTATTTTTTATATGTAGCTCTGAATCTGCAAATATTATTCTGATGGTATCCACACAAGTACAATTTCTTAATAGCTCATCTTGATTTTTAAGGAGAAAGACACTTATTCTCTGCTGTGTTCTTCTTAAACATTAAGAGAACTGCATTATATGCACATGTAAGTAAGTAAAATTTTATTTATATAGCACATTTCTAGATAAAAGATCACAAAGTGCTTCACAAGGTATAAAACAAAAACAGACAGTTAACAAAATGCAATTCTAAAAAGATGTGTTTTTAGTTGTTTTTTAACAGTGATCACTGAGTCCGTAGATCTTAAGTTCTGAGGAAGAGAGTTCCACAGTCTGGCGGCCCCAGTGTCAAAAGCTCTGTCTCCCTTGGTTTTCAGCCTTGTATGCTGAACAACAAGTAGGCCCGGATCACAAGACCTCAGGGACCTACTAGGGACATAGGGCTGTAAAAGTTCAATGATGTAGGCTGGTGCTTGTCCTTGAAGAGCTTTAAATGTCAGAACCGGTATCTTAAAATGGAGATACTAATCTTACTAGTACTGTTAGCCAAAAAGCAACAATATCTCCAAAATTAGACTACTGTACTCCTTGATATAATGGAGCCTTAACCACAACCTCAAATCGCTGGCAGGCAATACAAAATTATATTTAGTAACTTATTAAGTTACTTATTTGTTGTAGTTTGGTGTAGTTGTGTTCAACTACAACATGCTTCAGTGAGGTTATTGCTAACTGCTAACTAAAGCTTGGCTTGTTTGAATTGCGAATAATTGGTGATTGATGCGATAATGTCCAGCTATACCAGCATAAATACCAATAATCAGGCACGTGGGCTTTATAAGTGTTGAAGCAACAGGTGATTCTTGTTGAATACACCGGCTACAGCTGTGTAGAATTCAGGTTCCAAGCCATCTAACAGTGTCTGATCATAGCTCAGAAGATGACCTTGGTAGTAATTGTGTAATTCTGAATAAAAATGCCCAACCATTTGATGTGGCACTGTAGTGAGTCATCATTCTAGTTTTTGTAAGGTCCTTATTGCAAAAAACACCCCATCTCATAATATCGCTTCTTATCAAAACTATATAAATTTAGGACCAGTAAGAATTTTTTTTAAAACCTACAACTGCTTTAATACTTGGTTGCCATCAAGTTGGTATCATTTTACATAGTAGACTGTACCGTAGACTTCCACAGTGCAGGATGTAGCTGCATCTCCTGCATCGCAGGTGTACATGCCAGAATCACTGACTTGGCATTTCATGATCTGGAGAAACCGTTTCCTTCCCATTGCATAAATGCGCAAGTCTTTGCTGGTCTTCACCTCAGCCCCGTCCTGAAAATGATAAGAAAACACAAAATAACACAAACAAATGCAGTAAAATTTTACTTTGAACATTCTGCAGAGATCAAGAGTTGGTTTGGGGAAATTACTCTAAAAAAACTTTTAACATCAATGTTTTCAGGGTGTTTTTTTTTTTCTGTGGTCTTTTGTCAGTATCACAAATGTTGCCAGTAAAGAATAAATAAAAAAACCAAACACTGACCTTCATCCATTTCACATCCACGTTGTGTCTTGACAGCTCACACTCGATGGAGATTACTGCCCCTTCAGGGAACCTCTGGTTCTCCAGTTTTCTGAAAACGGTCACTGGGGGCTCTGGTGCAGAAAGAGATTACTTAACAGCCAAAATCCTGCTTAAATTTCTTCAAACGCATTGCTGCTCAAAATTAAAGTAACCTTTAGGAGTAACTTATATGGATTCATTGCGATGACATTTTCATCCAATTGTCATCGACAGCATTTCATACTGAGCTCAAAGGGATGATGCATACTGAGTGACTGGTTATGGAGTGGATTATTTTACAGCATGAGGTTAAAATGACACCTGACAGAAAAGACTCAACCGAGCTACTGCTTTTCACTTGGTTGGGCTAGGCCAATTTGTGTTTGTAACACGAGCCCGGATAAAGGCAGTGGTAGCAGTGCTGTCAATCCATTCTGTTACATGCCTCCACTAGTTGGCACATGGCCAGCTTTGAGTAGGCCACTTTAGCTACCAGTTTAAGGTCACAACAAAATGAGTAAAGTTGCAGTTTGCCTGCTGTGAACAGAAGTGCATAATAAGTTGGCCTGGATTACTTACATGATTATTGAACTAAACAGTTGAGCAATTTGCACTCATTATCGCAAAGCTGCTTCTCTTTACAATTTACCTACCCTTTACAACAAGCCTTGCAGAGGTCTTCAGATTCTCTATGCAGAACACAAAGGTGCCAGTGTCTTCTACTGACAGGTTAGAGATAGTAAGGCTGTGGACTTGTCCTTTTGCGCTCATACGGAAGTGATTAGTTGGCTTAAGCTTGAGTCCGTTTCTCATCCATGTGCCCGGGACATTGGGATGGGACACCTCTACCTCAAAAGAAGCCGTTTCCCTCTCTGTGGTTTTAATGTCAGTCAGTCCCCTCTTGATTGTGATTTTTCGAGCTACAGAGGCATCAAAGTGGGAAAAGTCATGTTTGAGAGACTGGGAACCTAACACAGGCATTTTCATTTCAGGCATTTAGCGCTGAGCAGACATGGCGTCCTTTTATAGTCGGAGAACAGGCGTGGAGTCTTTTTGGTGCACAGTGGTTAAACAATACAAGCTGGCACGTACACAAGCCATTTGAGCACTGGGCTTTTCGCAAAAGCCCAGTGCACTTTGGAAGGGCCAACATTTTTCACTTATTCTAACACAGACACACATTCCCTGTGGAAAAAAAGGAGTGTTTATTTTGGAGACCTGATGACAACAACCTCAATTTTGAAGGCCAGGGTGTAAATTTAGATGCAATAGGAGGAGATCCAAATTCATAGGAGGTGCCAACAGCAGCCTGAAGTACTGACTTTCCCCTTCCCACCCACACTAGTGTTGAAAGAACAGCCTTTAATTCACCCACTGGCCTGTGGCTCATAGGACTACGAAACACAAGAAGCATCTGCAAAGAAAAACAAGCATAAGTACATCTTAATCACCACAACCTACCCGTTTTACAGTATGCCAGGCCTCAATGCTCTCGAGAAAGTTAAATGACGCTTATTCATAGGAATTTTCTATTTTGTTTACAAAATCAAATTATGGGCTGTGAACAGAGGCATCTTTTAATTATCAAGCATTTAACCCTTAGAATAGAATTTGGTGTGTCCCGCCCATGTGTAATTATCAGGGCTTTGTTGGTCCTGCGTCACAACAGAAAACCCTGGTCCGAAAGTCAGCTTGGGCTGTAAGGATATCACCTGTTGGATTCCATCATATTTCAGTACAAGTGCCAACCTGGTCCCCAGGTCACTCAAATTACTCTTACTCAGTTAATTGAAATTTGCCTTCATATGAAGCAGTGATGGAGGCTGCGCGTGAGATGGGGTTGTCGGCAACAGCGGTAAACAAACAACAACAGGGCATAGTGAGAACACGTGGGCACTTACGTTCCACTGTGAGCTGGGCTTGTGTGCGGTCATGAAGGGTTTCACAGCTGTAGGTGCCCCGGTCAGACATTGACACTTTGTGGAGGGTGAGACTGTGTTTGCGGCCCTTGTGCTTTAGAGTATACTTGGCCCCAGGGTGGATTAGCACCCCTTGCCTCATCCACCGCACCTCTCCCGAATCCACACTCACCTCCACTTCTAGAGTTGCTTCACTGTATTCTTCAGCTACAACTGGTGTCATTTTCTTACTGAACAGCACCTGTTGCTCTTGAAGTGAATGTTAGGAATTAGTACATAACAGCGTGTCAACAGTTTTACCGCATCACTTATATTCAATTACAGTATGCTTAAGTTATGTATGTGGTTTTTGTTAAGTCTACTGTGAGGCCACACCCAAACCAACGGGAATATGTAAACCAGCAAAGGTGCATGGCAAGTTTAAGCACAGAGAATGAGTAAAAAGCTCTGTGGGGCCTTACCCCCTGCAGTGCAATGCACGCCAAAACCACTGAGCCACTTGTCTCTGTCAGTAACCAGAGGAATTCTGATATGAGAACCTGTGAGGTGCAAGCTGTCAAAGTCACCTTTTCAATAGTTTAAAGTTGTTTGCAAGGAATATGTGTCATATATGCTGTTAAAGGTAAACTACTCCACTGAAGCTTGATAGTCACCAGAGAAAAATAAGGAAACTTAATGTTGAATATTCTAACCTCTATGGATTATTCAAATTTGTAAAGTGTCAATCGCAGGGGCTGCAACTCACCTTGAACCTGTAGTTCTGCCTCTGAAATCAACCCCTCTGCATCAGCTGTCACTCTGCTGCTATCTGAAACCATGCAGTTGTTGATGCAGAGCATGTGGCATAGCCCATTGCTGGAAACCACAGTGCGCTCGTTCAGGGCTACTTGCTTGCCGTTTAAGCGCCACACCAACTTGGTGTCCTCTGGTGAAACCACACACTTAAAAACTGCATCTTCTCCTTCACAGATGATGACATTGCGAAGCTCTGCTATGAACTCAATAGTACGGGGGGCTGAAAAACATTCATATGAATTGTGAGCTCAAACTTTGCTCACATGTTACAATTGCACATTGGCCAGCATATTGTCTCTCTTAAAGATTTACACGGACTTACTTTCTACAGTAACAGTGGCTGAGGTCTTGTCATCTGTGGATTCACAGACATATTCTCCACTGTCTTCCTCCATTAGTTGGTGGATGGTAAAGCTCCGCTCTCTACCTTGAGCCCTGATTGTGTGCTGACGGCTATGAGAGATCTCGTTGCCATTTTTTAGCCACTGAACGTCTCCTTTTGGCTTGTTGATCTCACATTGTAACGTAAGGCGGGTTCCCTTTAGAGCCTTGATATTCTCCAACTGTCTGATAAATTTAACCTTCATTTCTGTTGGGCAAAGAAATACAGTTTTAGATCATGGCATCTTGTAATCAAATACTTAGAAAGAGAGGTCACATTTTGTTAAGTGACAAATTCCTACCTTTCACTAAAAGACTGAAATACATCTCATCTGTCTTTACGTCACAGACATATTCTCCAGAATCAGACAGCTGCAGAGGATTAATGATGAGCTTGTGGGTATTACCCACACTGGAGATGTGAATGTTCTCCTCGTTCAATAGTTGGCCATCTTTCAGCCACCGAACATTTGCTCTTTCATGGCTCACAATGGCACACAGTGTGACGCTCTCGTTTTCATAGGCTGTGATGTTGTTTGCTTTTTTATTCAGAAACTTGGCTGGCGGCTCTGAGCAAAAATACATTTACAAAGAAGCTGCTTGAAATTCCAAGTGCAAGCATCATTAACCTCCTAGGACCTGGCGTCCACATATGTGGACATCACATTTTGGGTTGTCTAGACCAAAATACTTAATTTTTCTCTACAAGGGCCTGATATCCACTTACAAGGACGTTATACTGCCACTGATCTATCAAAATTTAAAACGAATGTCCTCATATGTGGATCTCATTTTTCTCAGAAACTAAAATTAGGTAAAAAAAAAAAAATCTGGTAATTCTTTGTTTTTACAATCATCAGTTCCCAATCAACCCAAATAGCAAAGAAAAATTAAAAATGCATGTCATGAAAGAGTTTGGGTCTTAGGAGGTTAAACCTAGTCATATGAAATTCTGACACCTCTTTGAACATCATCTTAACTTACCTTGGATCTCTACAATTGTTATCAATTTGTCATCGAGGGCATCGCAAATGTATTCTCCAGAGTCCGAGGGCTGAAGTCCAGAGAGAACAAGCTTCCTAACAACGTCATAGTTGTCAATTTTTACGCGAGTATCTGGTTTCAGTCTCTTGCCGTTCCATAACCACTCAACTGTGGCGTTTGGCCGAGACACTTCACACTCCAAAATAAGATCATCTCCTGCTACCAGTATATGATGCTCTGGGTGGCCTGCATTTCCAATGATCTGCACAGGAGGCTCTGAACAAAAACAAGCACATTATCATTTTGTGTTCAACATAAAGGAAAGACAAGTTGTTAAGTATTTATTATTAATATTACCTTTGACAGTGATATAGAAGACTATTTTATCATCCACTGCATCGCAGGTATATTCCCCTGAATCTTCAAATGCCGCATTTAGGACCACCAGAGATCGGAAAACACCTTGCTCTTCGATGCAGTATCGCTCATTGTCATCAATAAGCTTGTCATCTTTATACCAGCTGACTGAGGCATTGGCTCTTGAGAGTTCACATACAAGAATAATGTCATCTGATACTAAGAACTGTTTTTCTATTTTTGCATCTGTTTTTCCAAGAATTTTTACAGGTAATTCTGAAAATGAAGAAAACAGAACATTCCATTTATTGGAACAGAATAATTGCCAGACCATCTGCAAAGGGAAAAAGTATTCCTTCACTGCTAGCCAATGGTTGCAGGACAGTCAAGCTATATACGCTGCACTCGCAAACTATTCCCCAAATGATAGTGAAACAGTCTGGAAACCATTTGCCTTCAAAGTAAAAGTTGTGGCTTCTAAAATGTGTTTGTTAAAGCAATAATGTCCTTACTTTTTTTCCCAGGTTTTACTGCTGCTTGGAGTGTAAATGTAAAGTGTTTGCAGACAAATCTCTATCTTTCATGCACACTACAGGCAACTGCAGCAATCTGCTAGAGACCAAAACAATCACAAGGTTTTTGGTGCTGGGACACATACACATCTTTCTCTAGCAACTGGAGATCAGCAACTAGTCTCTAGGCCTGTTTACAGACAGTACGTCTGTGTTAAATCTACACCATAGATATGCCGTAAGCACAAACCCTTATGAAGCCTTCCTAGAAGTATAACCACACATCACCATCAATGCAGCCTGCCACTTCCATGGGCAACATCAGTGGCTCTACATAGATTCACCCCAGAAGCATAATTCAGGCATGAGGCTTAACCTACCTTGCACTATCACACTGAAATCCATTACATCGTCTTTTGCGTCGCAGACATATTGCCCAGCATCTTCCACTGTCAGCGAGTGAATGGTCAACTGACGGATGACGCCATCTTCAAGGATTGTGATGTTTCTAGAGTCTTCGACTTCTTCCCCATTCTTCTTCCAAGTGACTTCAGCATTTGATCTTGAAACCTCGCAGTCTAGAACTAGAGTCTCCCCGGCCATTTTCTCTACTCTACTTGCCATCTTCCGAGGACGAATGAAGCGAACAGGAGGCTCTGTGTGTTAAGTGAATCTTAAGTTAGAGTGGATATATGCTGACATAGCAAGAGCCTTCTAATTATTAAGTTTAATTACCTGCTATGTTTACAAAGAACGTCTTGGAGTCATCCGCTGTGTCGCACACATATTCTGCTGAATCTTTGACAGTGGTTTCAGGTATAATAAGTCTTCTGTAGACACCGTCCACCTCCAGAATGAGATTGTCGTTCTCCTCCACCTCGAGTCCATCACGATACCAGCGTACCATTGCATTGGGCCGTGAGATCTCACAGCTTAGCACCATCCTCTCAGATGTCTGCTGACACAGTTCCATTTCTGACTGACTTGGGGATACAATCTTCACTGGAGGTTCTGAAAGTGAATGGTATTACCCAGCTTTTCAATTAAAACAATACTGCATAATAGTGTAAAGGCTTCTGTATGCACCAGTTAAAATATTTCTCAGCTCTTTGTAGAGCAACAGACCAGAGTTAATTTCACCTTACCTTGGTGGGAGGCCATTTAGATATCAATATTTTAGCCTTAAAAATGTTCTGATGATGCGTGACATTGACTTGTTTGAGTTAAATATACCAACCCCCTAATAGGACATTGTGCTCCTTTCTCTTATAACAGTGACACATACACAGACAGTATCTATAGTGTCAGGTGTTTGTACCTGTGATATTTAGGTGAAAGAATATTGAATCGTCAGCTGTATCACAGACGTATTCTCCAGAATCCTCTACTCCACTAGACAGTATCTTAAGTCGTCGATAAGGCCCTTCTACCTTGAGCTTGATGTTCTCACTCTCTTGAAGCTTTTGACCGTCTTTATACCAGCTGACCACACCACTGGCACGAGACAGTTCACAGCTTAGAATAATTTCATCGGGGACATGACGGTCAAGGTGGACATCCTCCTTGGGATAGATTATCGTCACAGGAGGTTCTTTGGGGGAAGAGTACAAGCAATTGAAGCCACATCTGTATATGCAGATACAATCAGCAGATGTTTTTGAATTCTGGACTGTTGTATTTGAGTATTTTATTACCTCGTATGTTAACTTTGAAGACTAAAACGTTGTCTCCTACACGGGATGTGTATGTAGCTGTATCGGACAGCTGGGCTGAATGTATAATCAGCTTTCTTTTGGTGCCCTCTGCTTGGATTGTAACATTATTGGTTGGTTGCATTTCAGTTCCGTCTTTGTACCATTTGACAACACCATCAGACCTTGATACTTCACATGACAGAACAAGCTGTTCATGTTCCACAACACTCTGGAAAAGGTCCCTCTCTGGGATATCAGCAAATGTTACCGGTGGTGCTGCAGAAAAAAACAAAAACAAAAAAAAATACTAAAAGTAGTTTTCGGATGAATCTAGATCTCATTATTTATGCTCATGCACAAGTTTTCACAGCCTAGTCATGCTGATTTTAAGCTTTGCTGTCAAGGTAATAACTCCTCACAGACATCAGAAGCATTGGTGGGTGTTAAGCCACATTTGAAGTGATGTAAAAACATATGTGCGGCAGTGCACTCATGAAATACTATTTACACAGGTTTGCAGAAAAAAAAGTTCATCATAATACATGCTGGACACTGAAGACGCTGTCCTAAAATGTAAAGCATGTATACAGAAAGCAGCTAAACGTTTAGACGTTTAAGAAAATCAGCTACGATGGATACGATGATGATCAGGTTTTGCTTTGTTAAGTATTAGAGGTCATGAAGGTGTACAAAACAGAACAGTTAAAACATTTGCCAAGAAAACATGGCCAAAAGAGATCATATCACCTTTCACCTCCACACAGAAATCGTTGAACTCTGAATCATCATCAGTTTTACAATTGTACATGCCAGAGCATGAAGATGTGGCCGGTTTCATAACCAGTGTCCTCTTTTTGCTCTTTGAATCAACGTTTAGTTCCGATTCTGGCAAGAGTTTTATTCCATCCTCATTCAAGCAGGTCTGGATTGCAGAATGTGAGATCTCGCACTTTGGTTTTATCAGTCCGCCTGCTTCAAGAGGATCGTTCCTCTCAGCCTCTGGAACAGCTGAGAATCAAACCCATGCTATAGGATCTTCAATTCATTAACAGTAACCAGATAGCAATGGTAAACAGATTTGTGTTTGTTATCCTACACTGTACAACTTACTTCAGTTTTTATAGTCAAGGGTGAGGTATGCCAACAGTGATTTTAATTAACTGATATTTGGCTCCAGAATGGTGTAAATGTTGTTTGGCAGACAGTGAAATCACACCATTATTTTAGCATATAGCACTACAATGTAGTATGTAATAATAGTGTAGTATGCCTGGTCTCATTCCTAGGGAGTCAGATACTGTTGTTGTGTCAAGACGGGCATCTATCGGGTACCCACAAGTTGTCCTTTGGTGTTGGTGCAGTGACACACTGGGTTTATGGTTCCACCCATAAACAGGTCTTACTTCAAAGTCATAGCATATGGACACTCATAAAGTATGAATTGGCACCATATTTAAACTCACTGGGAAGCATAATTTCTCAGTGTGCATGGCCACTTTTGAGAAGGGGTTTTATTACAAACCAAGATCTTTTCCTGAACCTAACCATTAGTGTTCAGTGCCTAAACATACAGTCCAAACATACAAAAGTTTAAGACCACTTGAAAAATGGCAAAACATTATATTTTGCATGGTTGGATCATAGCAAGGTTCCAAGTAATGGGAGTGAGACAAAACATTTTTTTGAACATGCAGTTTATTGAAAACACTACTGTAGCTGTTTTACAGCTGATCAAAAGTTTAGGACCACAAGCCTTTAAAAGGCCAAATCTGTGCAAAAATGTGGATTCATTGTCATTTTCTGTCAGGTAGTCACACTGTCATGACGTTCTGATGGCAAAGGCAAAAAAATGTTCCCTTTTTGAACGTGGTCGGCTTGTTGAACTGCATATGCAGGGTCTCTCGCAGTGCACAATCACAGCTTAAATAATCCTGAGGGTTATGGAACCAAAATGTCAAGTGGAAAACCCCCAAAATTTCACCAGCACTGAGCCGGAGGATCCAGTTGGCTGTCCATCAAGAAACTGGACAATCCTCAACCCAAATTAAAGCCATTACTGGTACCGACTGCAGCCCCATAACCATCAGACACTGAAGGGCTTCAAAAATAAAAAAAAAACGTCTCCTTGACATCATTTTCATTTTCTGGTCAACCTCAGACAAGGCTGAAAACAACAGAGGTGGCCTCGTGTCCATGAACGCCACAGAACTGACCGTTTGGATTTTGCAAGAGAGTACCAAACATTGGACATTGAAAGGTGGAAGAAAGTTTTATTCTTTTTATTCTTTTACTGGGTTTTTTTGGAGGTGTGGTCCTAAATTTCTGATCAGCTTTGAAACAGGCTGTTTAGTTTAAGCGTTGTTTTCAATAAATTGCATGCTCCAAAAAAATGTTTTCTCTCACTCTCATCTCTTCTTGTTGGTTGATCCAACCATGTAAAAGATGATTTTTTTTTGCCATTTTTAAGTGATCTTAAACTTTTGATTGAAGCTGTAGTAAAAAGCAAGTTAAAATGAAACTAATCAGTAGATCAAAACAGCGTAAAACGCAGTCAAAAGACAAACAAGGCATCTGTTTTTTCAAAATTGTATTATATACTGTATTATAATTGATCAAATTGTGTTTTTGGAAACTTTAGAGGTGAGGATTATATTATTTTATATTAGTTGCTGAATCTGGCTTCATTTCTGATCAACCTATGTTTCTCAACTTTTTCAGCAGTTTCCTGAGCCCTTAGTCTGTGCTGATTTACATAGACAAAGACATTTATGTCTTGAAAAAGCCTAAATCTAAATTTCTTTTCTTTTTTATATCTCAGTTTTGGTCTCCACCAGCTAAAGAGCCAATCAGTTTGGCTCTTTAGCTGTTTTTTCTTTTTCTCCAAAAAGCTGCAAGTGTTGTTTCTCTGTTACATTGTTCTGGAAGCAGGGTTGATGAAATTTTAAAAGTGAGTAATTACCTATCTGTGATCAAAATCATAGCAAAAACTCCAAATTTTACATTTTTAATTTGGATAAATATGTTCACCAACATTATAAACAAGACGAAGTACATAATCAAGCATTAACACATCTAACTTATATGTTCAAATATTGTTCCCTAAGCTAGTCTACTAGCAAAGTATTAATAGATGGTTAGTAATTCTGATGAAGCTCAAAATACTTAGATCACCTGCAACATCCACCTTGAATTCTATATGGTCATCTGCGGCCTCACAGCTGTACATCCCAGAGTGTCTGACTTCTGCTGACTGAATGACCAGTGCTCTCAGTTTTTCTTTAGCTTGGATTTCATATTCACTCTCTGGAAGTAGCTGTTCTCCATCTTTGTTCCAATAGACTTGGGCAGTTGGCTCTGAGACTTCACACTGCAGCTTAATTGGGCAGCCTGCTTCAACAAATTTGTTTCTCGCAACCTCTGGAATCGCTGAAAACCTCACAGGAGTAGCTGGGGGGGTATTAAAAGATTTGCAGAGGACTGCTGTTAAGCTGACAGAGCATCATTTAACAAGCAGTGTGAAAATAAGACTTTTTGGGTTTGATTAATTTAGCACAGGATTAGACTTGGTTTTTCACAAGGTGTTTTCAACTGCATGGATAAAAAGAAGTGCCAAGTTTAAGGGTAGCTATGGTAACTATGGCCATGCTAAAATGCCCCAAACTCACACTTGCAAACTCTTTAACTGAAAGGGAATGTAAGAAAATCACCTTCGACGTCCACATGGAATGTCGCAATGTCATCTGCAAATTTACAGCTGTAGAGACCAGAGTCAGAGACTTTAGCAGAAGGAATCATCAATTTTCTGAAGTTGCCATCTCTTTTCATATCAAGCCCAGTTTTGCAGAATAGCTCCAAATCATCTTTAAACCAGGAAACCTGGGCAACAGGGTCTGAGACCTCACACTGGAGGATAAGTGGACAACCAGCTGCAATCAGCTTGTATTTTTCTGACAGTGGGAGTGGCATGATCTGTGATGATCGGCCTAAAAGAGGAGAATAACAAGGGAACTGGGTAAGATGCTTGTGGTAGGCAAAACACAGTCCAGCCAGTCATACCATTTTCCCATGATCATTCAAATCAAAGTATGTTTCAGCCACTCACAACAGAGAATAAGAACCATAAGACGACAACGATAGAAATAAATCACCTTTTACATCCACTTTAAAAGTCACTGTGTCATCTTTTGTTGAACATTCATAGGTACCAGCATGCGCGCTTCCAGCTGATGGGATGAACAGTGTCCTTGTCAGTCCATCTGACTGTACTTCCACATTGTTTTGTGGCAGAACTTTTACCCCGTCTTTATACCAGTCGACATGAGCAGAGGGATCATGAGAGAGTTCGCATCTCAGGGCAATGGGAGCGCCTTCTTCGACGGACTTGTTCCGGTCATTCTCTTGAAGCTCTGAGAACTTCACAGGTAGGGCTGTAGGTTTTTAAAATTGCAAAAGATTGTCTTAATAAAGTGTCTTTAAATATTAAAACTACACTTTATGCAGTTAGAAATGAGTAGGAACTTAAATTCAACCAAAGCAGCAGACAGCTGACACAGGTCTTTAAGAACAAGGTGCTTTTGACAAAACAACATAAACAAGAGCTCAAAGACATCTAGAGTGTCTAGAAGAGCAACGATCAATATGAAACCAACAAAAAGTACAGGTTAGACATAAGAGTGTTTATGGCACAAGAAGTGCATATGGTTAGTGACATTAAAAAGAATAAAGTAGACGCACAGCTTTCTTTATATATCGGATATGCTTAATCAGAAGCTGCATTATGACACCACATTTTTAATGAGATGTTTAGTGTGACGATGTCCTATATTCTTTCATTCTACTCTTATTAAAGTGTTAAAAAAGGGGTCATCATGAATAGGTGTGACGGGGAGTAGTTTTTCTTTAAAGTCACATAAAAAATTACTTACATTTGGCCTCTGCTTTTTAACTTGGCATGAGTAGTGTATTAGGAAGGCCGGAAAATGAACAATTTTCTGTTAGGTCACTACAAAAACGTGACTAAATCACCTGCTGTTAACCTGTTAGTGGCAATGCAAGACAATGAAAGCGCTGCAGAGTTTTTTGAGCATCACCTTTTACATCCACAGTGAACTGGATGTCATCATCCTTTGATTCGCAACGGTATACACCCGTGTGAGCCCGCTCGGCTGATGAGACAACTAGACTCCTCAAATTTCCCTCTGACTGGATGTCTACTCCACTCTGAGGTAGGAGCTTTGTTCCATCCTTGTACCAACTGACTTGTCCAGTGGGGTCTGACAGTTCACATTGTAGAGCAATGGGATAGCCTGCTATGACCGTCATTTTCTGGTCAACCTCAGACATTGCTGAAAATGTCAGAGGTGGAGCTACAGGATTGAATGTAAGATAGAACTGGTCAATAAAACATGTACTGTAATGGACCAAAAGAAGCAAAGCAAAGCCCTAAAACTGAAGCTTTCCAATAAAATCAATAAACTATGTTAAAATTTTTCAAATTTGTATTTGTAAGGAAAGATTCAGCTAGATACATTTAGTAAACCTGGTCTACCAAACGTTTTATTAATATTAACAGTCAGTCTTGTAAGAAAGTTATTGCATTAATTAAAAAAAAACAAAAAACAACCCAACTGAGGTGGTTCTGCAGTGACAGCAAATGTATGATAAAGTATACTTAATTAGCAAAGGTTTATGTTTACAAATGGTTGAAAGTCATTTTTTGTTTTACACATTTGGCCAGTACCTACAGTATGAGTATAGAAGATGATTTAGCCTTAAGAAAATTCCTGCCTTTACAGTAGGAGGCTGGAAAGTTGGAATTCTTCCAATGTTCAGTCACCTTACTTAGTCAAGCAAAGAGTGAGTGTACTAATGAAACCCTGGGTACCTGACAAAGCAATTCAGATTTATTTTGACACAACTGTGAAGACATCTAAGACATTTGGGTCAAAATACCTTTGCCTGCGTCAAGGCTGTGTGCTTCTGTATACTGTCTTGGCAGGGACACGGATTTCATTAATTGGATATTATGACTTAATGATAGGGTTAATATACTGAATCTTTGGGCATGTTTGGTCAGTTCACATGTCAGTGATGTCCCACAGAGAGCCGTAATGCACCCCTATTAAAGCTAACCAAGGGTATTTCTCCACAAAAGAACGCAGACTGTGTGCTACCTGAGTGCTTGGCAAATTAAAGATTTTGCAAAACACTTAACTTCCTCTTGGATAATAGGTCAAAAATCAGATTAAGCCGCACTGTCTTTCTAGGGCAACTTTAGTTAATTGTAGACAGTGCCTAGTTCTTTCATTTTGATTTAAAGATAAAATAGAGCATGGCACAGTGTTTGAAAACTCTCATTCGTTAACTTCAATGGAGTATGCTACAAACTAAGTACTAACTTGGACAGAGCCTTAATGTCCCCTGAGCAGTGTTGTCAAAAATAAGCCTTGGATTAGCACGATTAACACAACCTGCAGAGATGTTAATGTTTTGTTGTGCAACATAGAATGTGCAAGAAATTACCCCACTTGTCAATTTTGAGGAAACCATTTGCGTACAAGTGGCTAAATGTGACTGTAGAAGTTGTCACAGCATATTCAAAATAAAAACATCAGACACAGTAGCTTACTGGTGTTAAGAAGTCATGTGACCATGGTGTAGTTCTTTGAGATTGTACTTACACTTCAGAAATCATACAGTTGGAATTCATTTGCGGAGATTATCCTGCTGAACAAATGTGTCATGAATTTTTATTTTACTCAGAGCTTATTTTCTGTGACAATCCAAAAGCATTTGGAGAAATCCAATTGACTTTTTAATTAAGGGATCCAGGGCCGTACTTCAAGGCTGGCCTACAAAAAATTTCATCCCAGCAGAACTCCCAGAGTGCACCACACAGGTAGCTGTAGTTTCAGTCTCTGTGATTCATGGACTCAGACATCATAGAGTGAAGTCATGAAAGCACATGACAGTGGTTACTAGTTAAATGTAATTTAAATATTTGGATTGTACTTATTGTACTTATACTTATTTTTCTTTTAAATTAACATAATCCAAGAACTCATTTTGTGCAGATTGCAAATGATTACAGTAAAGTGAAGTTTTTCAATCAGTTGAGGTTTTGTATTTAACTATATTAAAGTGTCTTGATTTTTTTTTCCAATCAGAGAAACTAAAATCTGTCTACTTTATGCTAATTATATTTTTCCAGAAAACTAAAAAGAAAGCTTGCATTTTGTGAGTAAAGCAAACTTATTTGTATGCAAATAACCTCCACTAAAATCTAATTGCATAACAGGTGAAAACATCTTTTGTCACCTTTAACATCCACATGAAACTGCACTGCATCATCTGTTGTCTTGCAGCTGTAAATCCCTGCATGAGACAGTGTCGCAGATCGGAAAGTCAGTGTTCTTATAGAACCATCTGCCAGCATGTCCTGCCCAGCTGCTTCAAGAAGTTTTATTCCGTCCTTGTACCAAGTAACTTCACCATTAGGATCTGATATCTCACACTGCAGCATTAGGGGTTCACCACCTTCAACAGACTTGTTCCTTTCAGCCTCACAAAGTCTTGTAATTCTCACAGGCGGAGCTGGGGATGTTTGAGGTAACATCAAGAGAAAATTGCATCACTATTACTGACTACAACAGAAATGAAGCTTTAAAAACAAAAGGAAAGAGCAAATCAAATTCTAACATCAAGATTAGTCATGCCAATAAACCTTGAGAGTTAAAATAAGTCATAATAAAAATATGTCCTTGTTTATTAGTAATATAACAAGATGTGTCTTTGGTTAGACTTGAGATACCTGGGCATTCAAGTTAGGATTTGAAGCTAATGTATTTACTCTTTGCTCTATTTTGAATGTTCCTCCCAGACCACCCAAGCTCAAATTCAACTACTGAAGTACTTTTAGTGTAAATAAAGTCAAGTGAGTAGTTATAGAGATTGCCAAAATGTAAAGGATTGCAAAAAAAAAAGGCAATCTCAATCATTGTGCCCGTTCATTTTTTCTTGGTAATGCTAACCATTTAAATCACCTTCAACAGCCACCTTATATGCAGTGACACTGTCACTCCAGTAACCATCATGTGTCCCTGAGAGGTAGAGCTCTTCTGATTCTACCGTTGCTGTCTGCTTGATATTGCAAGGCTCTGCATAGTTGGTCAAATGTCTTTTCCCAGAGTTAAATGTGATGTCTACTTGTTCTTCCGTAGTCTCCAGGGTGCGATAAAACTCTGCGGGGACTGTTGCTTTCTGACTTGGCAGGGACAGCACTTCCAAATCGTTAGAAACTGCTTGTCCTGTATTATCGGGATGATCCAATTTGACATATGCAGACTGCTGCAAGTCGTATGGCTCTTGTTGGAAAGTTTTTACCTCTTTAAGGTTAGAAAAATCCAATGATTGAAGGGATGCTGTTTTAGGGAAGTCACTGAGCCCCTCTGAAAGATCAGCAGATTTCTGTAAGAGTCTGTTGAACTCCTCTGATTGGTCAGTTGCAGTCCATAAAGAGTTATAGGGCCCCTCTGAATAGACTGTTTCAGTTTGTAAATGGTCACAAGGCTTCTCTGAAAGGACAGGTGGGATCTGCATGGAATTAAAGGCCCCTTCTGATTGGACATCTGCAGTCTGCAATGACTTAAATGGTTCCTCTGATTTGACAGCTACAGTCTGTAAGGATTTAAAGGGCTCCTCTGATTTGTAACTTTCAGAGATTATGGATTCAATCAGATCCTCTGACTGTGGAGTTGCAGTTTTGAAAGACTCAGAGATCCTGTCTGATTTGATTGAAATCTGTAAGGTGTCAGTATTGTGCTCTGGTGTTGTAGCTGAATTCTGTAGAATGCTGCCTAGCTCTGACTGGACAGATGGTGTCTGTCCTAAACTATGTAGCTCCTCTGATTGGAAAGTTAGATTCTTGGAAGTGGATTCCTCTGACTGAACAGTTGCAATTTGCAAAAACTTGCAAAACTCATCTGTCAGAACAGCTGTCTGCAAAGAATTGTCAGGTTCTTCAGATGGGGCTTCCGTATGCTGTACATAGTAAATGAATTCCTCACCTTGTGTATCTTTGAGCTGTGTAGTGTGATGGTGTGTGTCAGACTGAGTTGTTATTGGGTTTACAGAGTCATGGTACAGTGGACATTCGGCTTTTTCCATTTGTTGACCATCATAGAGTTCGTTCAGCTGTTTAGATGCAGCGCAGTCAAACATATATTCATATGCTGACTGAGAAGCTGGTGTATGACTGGAATGGTCTTCACATGTCTCAGTATCTCCAGCCTTGCCACCGGAGATCCCAGAATTGTATTTTGAGGACACCCGGATAACTTCAGCAGGACAAGCCTCCTCTGTGGACTTGCTCTTCTCTTGGTCAGAAGAGAGCCTTGGCGATGTAGCTATAAGCATTGTGATGTACACAGAGAAAGGTTTTCAGTGGTTGATGGTCTCAATACTTCTTCTTATAACAGAATTTTACATCAGTGTGGGTTAGCATGGAGTTATGGGATTATCCATTGCAAAGACAAACAAGAAGATCGACCAGGTTTGGTCTGAAAGTGAGCTCCAATATGTCTTCCTTCAACTGACTCCTAATATTCTCATACCAAAAATCTGTACATTAGCACCATAAAAACCTATGGTACATTAATTTTGTTGTCTTTGACAAGAGTTCGTTGTCATTGCAACGGGGAGACGTTCAGGGCAGCAATGTGAATGAGAGGATCTGGTGATGAATAAGACATAAGATGGACTTTAAGAGTGGTAAGTTGCTTGTTACAAGCAAAGATGACTGTTAAAATGAAGAATGAAGTGACAAACACAACGTATATGTTAGTATGAGAAGCAGCTACACAGCTACTAATCAACCATTTAAGAGGCAAAAACAGCAGGAAATGACCTGTAACCAGTGATGACAATGTGACACAGAGCAATTTTCTAAAGGAAAAAAGATTTACAGATGCCTCAGATGATTGGGCTAACAATAAAATACACCACTATTGTTAGTGGCATTTATGTGCTTGGTTAAAATGGATGATTGATGTTGAAATATCAAATCACCTTTGCCATCCACTGTGTATTGGGTAGATGCATCAGCTATCTCACCAATCTCATCACGATAGTGACACTGCTCTGCTGTTTGGACAAAGCCAAAGAGAAAACAATGAGCTGGGTGATAGCGTTACATATGTAACTTATTTCTTGATTCTTAATTGTGCAGGTACAATGAGGGGAACCACCTTTTATGTCCTCATTTAACTGTACATCATGAGCTGTTTCACAGCCAAACTTCACATCACCAGAGGCATATTGTAACTGGAGGGGAAAGATTTGGCTACTTCTCTGGGATTCACTGTCAGTTTCCCTTTTGGGGTAGATCTGGGTTCCATCTTTGTACCAACAGGCTTTGGCAACGGGATCTGAAATCTCAAATTGCTGAACAATTGAGCAGTGTGGTTCAGCAGAGTTGGCCTTCTCGTCATCAGGGTCAAGTAGATATGTTGGAAGTGGCACTACAAACAATCATTGGGGGGGAAACTGACTTTAAAGAGAAACTGATACATTATATGTTTATATAGAAATGTTACTAGAAGCTGCACAAAGAGTTAGTACAGCTGAAGCAGAAACCACATTTGCAGAAAAGGTATAATCACCTTGATTTTTTACTATTAATTTGGCAACATCATCTGCTGTTGCACAATAGTATGCTCCAGAGTTTGCAGGATGAGTTGGTTCAATAACAAGGGTGTTCTTGATGCTTCCATTTTCAAACTCAGGCTCTCTGTCAGGCTGTGTATCAGGTTCTGTATCCCTCTGCTTTGACACCTGGAAAGCAGGGTCTGAGGATTCACAGGGTGGTTCAGCGGGGGGGTACGTTGCTTCAAGAAACTGTGTCTCCACAACCTCCAGCGAAGGCGACAATGGCAACGTTGGAGCTAAAGATTAATGATTAATATTATGACTATGGACTTAATGGAACATATTCATACTATGAAGAAAAGGGCAATAAGTTTAACTTCCCCAAAACTGGGAAGTAATCTGCCATTTCAAATTCAACAAGAAATGCATTTTCAAGGGTTATGCTTTTTTCATTTAGTCAGTACACATTGATTTTACCATGGACAGTTACAACTTCACACAAAGCACCACTTTAACACAGACACACAGAAACGCATATCATAATGTTAGTCATATCTAGTCTCCAGAAAGCTTTAGAATTAGATCCAAAAGTAAAACAATTTAATTGTAAAAACAAATCACCTTTAGCATCCACAGTGAAGTGGATAGTGTCATCAGAAGTTTCACAGCTGTATAGCCCTGAGTGCAAGAGCTCAGCAGATGGGATAATGAGTTTCCTTGATGTGCCATTACTCTGTATATCCCAACCATTCTGTGGGATGAGCTTTTTACCATCTTTATACCAGCAGGCAGGCACAGTAGAGTCTGCAACCTCACATTCCAGCTCCAAAGGTTTGCCCACTTCGAGTGACTTGGTTCTCTCAACATCAAAGATAGTAGAGTTCGTCACTGGTATAGCTAGCATTGGGAATGCAGGACAGCTAAATAAAATCAAGGCCATGGAAATGGATACCTTACAAAAATGTAACTGCTGAGCAGAAGATGAAAAGGGCTTTGGAGACTTATAATTCACAGAGAGCCGCAGGAGTCGCAAAACCAATGTATATAAATAGTAATCACCTAGTGAGTTAACTGCTCTTTAAAGTTATGTGCACGAAACACTCCTTCAAACCACATAGTAGAAGCAGGGATTATTAGTGGCATCTATGAAGAGGGGGGGTGGGGTTACAAAATGAACGCAAAGATAAGAAGCGTAAAGTCACCTTTGATCTCCACTTGAAACGCCACGGTATCATCCTGTGTGGTGCATCTGTACACACCAGAATGGCTCAGCTCTGCAGACTGAATAACTAATGTCCTTGTGTTGCCCACTGAGTGGATTTCTAATCCAGAGCTTGAAACGAGCTGTATTTCATCCTTGTACCACAGCACATGGGCCTCGGGATCCGACACCACACACTGTAGCACAACGGGGCAGCCTGCTTCAATCGACTTGATCCTCATATCTTCAGGAATAGCTGAGAACTTCATAGGTGGAGCTATAGATATGTTTAGATTTGATGTCAACCTTAAATCAACCTCATGCCACTTCGATTTTTTATCATAATCTATCTACTGACCACTTCTAACATGCTGTAATACACTGAAAAAAGGTAGCGCACACTTAAGCACTTCTAAGATGAAAGGCAACAGACAACATACAAGAATGTCATTAGAGTTAGTTGCTTTGCTGAGTAGGAGCTCGTTAATGTTTCACATCACTTAAAACAAATCACCTTTGATGTCCACATTGAAAGTGATGGTGTCACCCTTTGTCTTGCAGCAGTACAAGCCAGAGTGTGAAACTTCTGCTGAATGGATAATCAGATTCCTCATCAAGCCATCGGATATGATATCTATCCCACTTTGAGAATGGAGTTTTGACCCATCTTTGTACCAGTGCACCTGGGCAGATGGATCTGAAAGCTCACATTGTAAAACAATTGGGCAGCCTGTTTGGATGGTTTTGTTCCTTTCAGCATCTGGGAGTCCTGAAAACCTCACAGGTGGGGCTATGGATATTTAGATATTTTAATGGGTTGGTAAGTGGTAAAAAAATAAATAAATCAGATGATTCAAAGGAAGACAGCATGCATTTTTTACATAAAAAAGATGTTTGGTACAAGTCACAATGAAGAGGGTTAGTCTCTGTAAAACAAAAAACAAAACAAAAAAACGCAATGTAAAAAACTTGTTCTACTCACCCTCTACTTCCACATTGAACCTGATGACATCATCAATGGCATCACAGCAGTAGACTCCTGAATGTGATAACTCTGCTGACTGGATGACAATTCGTCTCATGGTGCCCTCTGATTGGATATGAAGACCTTCCACAGATCTTAATTCCACCCCGTTCTTGTACCAGTGCACCAGAGCTGCAGGGTCTGATACCTCACAGTAGAGCACAATGGGATTCCCAATTTCTACAAATTTATTTCGATCCATCTCTGACAATGGGAAAAACTTGACAAGAGGAGCTGCAAATTTTAGAAAACACAAGGAAAACACTGAGTGTAATAAAAGGTATGTGTTCACAGGGATGGGTTTTTTGGGGTGAGACACTGACAGGTGTGCTTGCTCACATACAGCCCTCTACAATTGCAATTGGACGACTGCCTCTGGCGGGCTGTCCAAGTTCAGGTTTTAAGCAGAAGACTACATGGTGGCTCATTGGTAATTGTTTTCTTGTAATACAAAATCCATCAGAATGCATTTCTGCAGACATTTAAGGAAAGTAATACGCCACCCAGCCTACAAATTCATCTTCATTTTTCTAAATGTTCCAGACATACCTTGAATGTAAAGTGCTGCGGAATCACGGATGCCATAGGCAATGAATGTAATCTCAGCTCCATTATCTGTATCGCGTACTCCTCGAATGCGGAGAGATTGGTGTGCTCGTGAGCGACGCATGGAATACCGCTCATCTTCCTGAAGCTGAGTCCCATTTAAGAACCATGTACCAATAACTGAAGCAGAAAGCTCAATAGAGAAGAGAGCGTCTTGCCCCTCTGGCACCAAGGCATCCTGTAAGGGAGCTTGTATTCTGGCCACAGGAACTGGAAAATAAAATTGTGTTTAATCATATAGCAAAAGTATCCTGTTGTGATTAATTGAGAAATACAGCAAGTGGTATTGATTTAGTGCAGTTGTAGTAAAATAAACATTACCTAAGTGAACAGTTTTAGGGAATTCAACATTATTGCTTTTCCCATATTTGTTGACGCTGCAAATACGAAAGCGGTAATCCGCCTCACATGGAACACTGTCACCAAGGATCTCCACAGAGGTTGCAGAATCAGTGGTCAGACACTGAAGCCATTCTTGCGAACCAGTGCCCACCTCTTGCCGTTCAAGCACATATCCAGAGGGAGGATTCTTTCGTGAGTCCTGAGCAGGAACCCATGAGAGAAGAGCTGCATTAGCACGCTCTGTGTTGATCTGCACAGCCACTGGACAACTAGGTGGACAATGTCTGGCCGCTGAAACCAGAAAAAAGTCATCATGCACCAATGTTGCTTCGAAAATTGATCAAGTTTTGTGACAAATATTGTATCTAAGACACTGTAATTTTCAGAGGGCCCTACATTTCACTCTTAGCTGAGAGGAAGTCTTGGATCTGCCGACAAGGAAAGTCACGAGGCCAGAGTCTTGGGGCATTGTGTTGACGAAAACCAGGATGTGAGTTCGACCAAAGGATTTAATAATGGTCTGATGGGTTTCACGCAGCTCTAAGCCATCTTTGTACCAATGTATATCCATCTCCTCTTTTTCTACTTCAACACAAAAGGCAGCATTTTCACCTTCCAAGACATCCACTTTTCTTGGAAGCTTCCGCAAAATTGTGCCTGCAAAGAAACACCCAAGAGAGTTAATACGACACTCACAGTGCAAGAATTCTTAATAGTTAGTAGCAAACATCCATCCGTTTCCATAACTGCTTATCCAATTTAGGGTTGTTCACAGCTGTCACAGGTTTGTAATTCAGAACAGTTTGTCACTGTATATGTTAAACATGCAAATTTTGCAGCTGATCTCATCAAGAGGACAAAATCGTTTCCCAGTGCCTTCTTTGCAGGTCACAGTTTTTGATCTGGCACCAATAACGTTTGCTGTGTGCCTCAAATTCTACCTCAAAAAATGTTAGCTACTAAAGACCTGTGTCTGCAGGCATCTGTTTTTGTATTGGACTGCTTTTGTAAAGCACCTGGTTTAACTTGGTTACAAAACTAATGTTTAACACCTATGCATTCATTTTTGTGAAGATCTGTCCTTTGTAGTTTAGCCAGGACAGGTTTTTACTTTTTTACATGCTAAAGAGTCTTGATATTGCAAGTCACATAGGTGTTTGTTTTTTTATTTTGAGATCTCCTTTAGAGACTCTGACAAGCTAGTCTGTGTTTCAACTGGAGGTGTCATGTGCACAGCCGAGGAAAAACAATGTTCTCTGAGGGCTTTTCTTTCTTCTTGCTGAGACTAATGAGCACTTTATTTTTTAATTTCACAGGATTTGTACTGAGAGTCAATGTTTTCACTGCAGGAACAACAAACCCTAAGGCAGTCCTACAAACAAATCTGAGATCATGTGTTTTCTGCAAATACTTTAAACCAGAAAAAACTGACAAACACACCACCTTCACCACCTAAAGAAATAGTAATTATATTGCTTAGTCTGCATATGAAATCGTTGCACATTTTTGCATTGTGTTATTTTTGAAATAGAGCTACTTTATATCGGATCCTAATTTACCTTTTACAGCTACCTCTGCAATGCTTCTGCCCCCATCAGGCATCTCGCAGAGGTAAATCCCATCATCATCAACTCCGATGTCACGAATTGTCAGTCGTCGTTTCGTTCCCCACTCCTCCATTCCATATTTGGCCCCTGGTTGCAGTCGTCTATCCTCCAGATACCATGTGATGGGAACTGAGTCCTCTGGAACTTCACACTCGAGAACAGCCAAATCCCGCTCCCACACTTCAAGATCAATGAGAGGCTGCTTGAACCGCACAGGCGGCTCTGGGACCAAAGAAGTAGAAGAGCAACAGTTTGAGCCAATATGATATCTCTCATAGTGCTAAATGTAAAATATTCAAATTTTATTTGATCTATCCAATGATTTTAGTAATTCAATATAAATTCTTGAAGCGAGGTGATCTAGCAAAAGCTCAGACTACATGTGCCCTTGTAGTAAACACTGTAAATTGGAATATATTTGGCAGTAAATTCCAGATAAGCAAACAAGATGAGGAAAATCATGAGACAAGTGGCTTATTTAGCTGAGGAATGGGAAGGTCATTAACACACTGGGGTGTTAGATAGAGAATAAAGTGTTTGTAACTGACACCATCAGACAGTACCAGACAGTTGTAAACAAAAGAATGTGGACTGTATTTAGTGGCGTGTGTGTGCAAAGCTCATCATTACCTTATCTTACTAATGTTTTAACAAGGCCAGTTACACACGCAGCTATACAAACCATCTTCCATTTAAAATTTCTTCTTAGCCGCCACTAACCATTAACTCTATCTCAGTTCTATTTTTTCTCTCCAGCTGATACAGTACAATACTTGAGGTTGGACTTCTTTGGGCCATGTGAGAAATAAGATCCTCTTCCCGAAGATTTCAATCACATGGACACTGAGTCCTGGACCCTGCACAGGCTAAGTAACTTTGCAGACATCCTACCGCTGCGTAACTCTTCCTCAAGCTAATGAACATTGCCTGTTTAGGTATCACTTGGGTCCAGTTTCA